GCTGAACCCCCTATGTGCCGTACATTGGCACAGAGGCAGATTCACCAGCCTTAACACAGAGTGAAGCCCAGGAACTGAGCATGGTGTGATGTGCTAATGGATAACTGGATGAAGAGTTCAGACTTTCACACTGCATTTTGACCAGTTATTTATACTAATGAAAAGTAAGTATAAACTCTGACAAACCCAAAACAGTTTAAACTAGCTCCTGCTCATGTAAATGGAGGTACATTAGCTGAGACAGTAGAGGTTACAGTCAGATTCTCACAAACAGAAGATCTGTGCAGACCCAGTATTTCTTAAAGCTGACTGCCATGTTATTAACCTTCTACTGAGTGCAAATTCAAGGCTATTCATTTTATTGCTACTTCATTTCTGCCTAATATCCCAGGACTATCCAAGACAAAAAGAAGTGCCTCTTATTTCACCTCACAGCAACTTTAAGAATGATGGCTGAGAGAAAAATTTTAGATTAAAACTTAGAATAAGATCAGCCCATACAAGGCTTTCAACCATGAAAATTGGTACAAAGCTGCTAACGTCATGGAGCTCAAGAAAATCTGATGAACCAGAATTTGAAAATCACTCTGGCAAAAAAGTACTATTTTCTGGGAATTATATAAATTATTCCCTGAAAACAAAAGTTACATCTATGCTAAATTTTGCCTGAAGCTGCCAAAGATACTTTCCAGTCTTGCAGCTTTCTAAGCTTGCTGAAATCCTCCGCAAAGGGTTTTTCAAATGAGTTCGACTAGATTCTGATCTCCATTAACTAGATGTCACTCTGATGTGATTTCCTCCACACTGATAGCAATACACTGGATTTGGAAACCACTTCTACAAGTCAGATAAAAATAATTCTGGATTTGTTCAAGGTTCTTCTGTGAGTAAATAGCCTTCAAAAAGCCCTTCATCAGTTGCCAACGATAAAATCATACCATATATACGCGGAACCCGAGTTGATCTTAATGTTACTAAATGGCTCAGTTTTATCCTCAATTTCACTATTGTTCCTTTTTATAGTAAAACCCTGAACACAGATCCTCAATTTCAGATGAGAAAAAAAGTAGTTTGTCTTCATGACTACACAGAACTGCAAATGAGGATCAAAGTAACAAGAAGTGTCAAAATTCAGAGGGCAGGTGAGAAGAATCCACCACTACTACTCTGTATTACGTTATTGAGCATTTTGGCAACACAAGAATATACCCCCAGTACATAGCTTTGAACTGGGGGGGGAGGGGGGAAGAAAAAGAAAAAAAAAAAAAATCACTCTTTACAGTTTAAGTTTAAATTACCATTTCTTTTACTCATGCCAAACTTTCCACCATTGCAAGCAGGTCCAGCTCCCCGGATGATAGGGAAACATGGCAACTTGCACCATCATTATGTGAGTCTCATTTTGTTCATTTTCCTGAGTCACCACTGAAGGCTATGCCGAGGCTAAAACTAAACTAAAAGATAACTCCCCTCCTGCCATGGTTTAATGTGTTTAGGATACCATCACAAGGGCTAGAAAAACTAACAAACTGCAAATGCAGATGCAAACTCTCTTTTTCTAACAGTTTGCATTACACATATATTAGCATCTCAGCAAGCCAAATCCTTACGAACTAGGCCAATCACTCTTATTTTAAGGTGTTAGCTGCCATCACAGTGGTTGCTCTAGCCGACCTACCATGATCTATTTACTGCTGAGAAATGATGAGAAGTTTTTAATACTTTTGCAAACGGAGGCACATTGCAGAGTTCCGTTATTCACAAAAGCTAAGAGGCGCAAGAGGCAAGCTCACTACAGAGTAAGAGAACACATGAATTGTTTTGGTTACTGACCAGGCGGCGAATATCCCTTTCACTCTCCCATTTGATCTTGGAAATTGCTTCCTGGTGGGACTGATGCTCACTCCGAAGATCCCCCGCCTTGATCTTATCAGCTTGGATCATATTGTTAAGGGCCTCATCTACCTGCTTTTTGGCAGACTTCAGTTCAGTAATTTCCTGCAGAAGCTTAAGGCGCTCAGAGTCAAACTGTTTTCTGGCCTCTTCACGAGCCTCAATAGTCAGCGCTGTCCTTACTTTATCACTGCTCCCATCCCGCAGCGCACACAGCGCTGACTTGAGGCGCTGGATTTCGCTGTCTCGGACTTTCACCATCCGCGTCATCTCCTGCTCATGCTGTTTGATGAGGTTCTCCCTCACAGCCTGCAGCTCCTTCATTTTCTCCTCATGAAGTTTGGCTTTTAGCTCCGTGATCTGCACAGTCTGCTTGCGCTGCTCCACCTCACGGATACGCTTAGTTTCTTGAGTCTTCTCTCTTTCAAGTTTAGCAACCTACATTGAGATAAAATGAACGTCACCTGCTACCAACATAATGTTAACAAAACAAGCCCACCCAGACACAGACTCATGTCAAATTGAGGAGGACCCTGCTGCAGACCCTAGATGATCCTCCACCCTTCTACAACAGAATATGGGCCAATTCCTTTCTCCACCCTTCTACAACAAAATATGGGCCAATTCCTGGGGCATTCACATAGATTTTACACTGTCTTTACTCAAGCCAAAACAACCCTGTCTTCTCCAGGTGTTTTGCCTCACACAGTGACACTACACGGACTTTCAATATTTCCTTAGGAAATAAGACTCCATGTATATCACAGAATCACTAAGGTTGGAAAGGACCTTCAAGATCATCAAGTCCAACCATTAATCCAGCGCTACCATGTTCCCTAAACCATGTCCTGAAGTGCCACATCCACACGTTTTTTGAACACTTCCAGTGATGGTGACTCCACCACCTCCCTGGGCAGCCTGTTCCAATGCTTGACCATCCTCTCGGTGAAGAAATTTTTCCCAATATCCAATCTAAATGTCCCCTGGTACAACTTGAGGCCATTTCCTCTTGTCCTATCACTAGTTAGTTGGGAGAAGAGACCATAATATATGCAGAGCTGATTGACTTTTTTTTTTTCTCCCATGCTATCCCCATCTTATTTCAGATATACCTTTCCCAAAATAAGCCATTAGAAAAGTTTGAAAGACTACTTTTCAGTTTCTATTACCAAAGTCATTCTGACAAGTAACAGACTCTAAAAATGAGAGGCATCTTCCTCAGAAGGCTCCATGGAAAATAAATCTGAAAGATTCTCCTAGAACTCCCTCCACAAGGCTCCAGGATGCACAAAAGCTTTTCATAGCAAAGTATTCAATACACATGTGTTTTAGAGGTGGTCTGCACTTGCAACTGCCACTGACTTCTCTGGAAGACTTCAGAGGCTACTGATGCAGTAACTATGTATATTAATATATGTCATACACAGGCAGAAGGTTTTGCAGCCAGGGACTCAATCACATCTGTACAATTCATGTGAGATGTTAAAATGCCTTTACTACACAGATCATTTCTGAAAAGAAAGCCACACATAACCTTGGCCCCCCAGCCCTCCAAGTCCTTAGGACAGGTTTTGGGTTTGCCTTCGCTCCTTTTTCATTCTAGGTTTATCCTTGACTTTGAATACTCATGACTGAAAATGAGCCTGATGCCCTCTTTCTTTCTTGTAACACATCTGTTCCTGTTTATTAAAAAAGGAGTTGAATGCACTGCAAAACAAGGTGCAATTATTGTAAGCGATCCATTCTGGCATGGCACAGAAAGTTACATCTAAACTTTCAACAAAGGAGTTTGGGTATCCACAATGGCACAATGCAGATCCAGCCAGAGCGTAAATACAACCCCAGCTAAGCTCTGGGGTGCCTGGTTTTATGGCTATTAGTTTCCAGGCTGCCTAGTTTATTGAACTGAAAGGCCATCAGATGTTAGGCTGACTTGTATATGTACCATTCTGATGGGAAGAAAGGGAAAGTGAATGAGGGCCTTGTGGGAAAAAGATTATTACATTTGAAGTAATGGAAGAGAGACCTGTTCAATAAAAGACCACAATGGCCCAGAGGTTTCTACCCTCTTTGGATTCATTGGTAGAGTGACCTTATTGCTAGCAGAGACAGGAAGAGTCCAAAGATCCCACAAAGGGGTCAAACAAATAGGAAGAACACTTTCTTAAAGCTCCTTCTGATGTGCATGATTGCCCATCCTATTTCTAACCTGATTTTACAGATGACGTTGTACCAAGATGCCCAGCCTGAACTGCATACATCTAGAGAAAAAGGAGGAAAGAGCTAAAATCTGAATTCCAGATTAAAATAAAATTTGATATCTGCTCCTCTCAATCTAAACTGCAGAACAATTCAGAAGTCTGTTCTACTCCCTGAGACTGTAGTTTTTAGTCCCCCACTACTCCATGATGACAATTCCTTTAATACCCTGAGCACGCAGTCTGATTTAGTCACAGGAATGGACAAGAGCACCTATGGATGGGTATACTGAGAGATACTGAAGTGCACAAGCAATTTCATGATTTTCTTCATGTTCTGCTCCCCTCCTTTCCAGTGTTACTCTAGCACATTTAAAAATATATTTCAGATAAGCTTTTTTTTGTTTTCAAGACTTTCCTACTCTTGTAACTCTCATGATTTTGGGCTATCCTTGAAGTGATGTCTAGTAACAAAAATCTGCACTGCCAACTTCCATATTATAATTCCACAGCTGCAGTGATAACAAAAGCAGCAAGACTCAGAATACCATGGAAAACGTTACAGAAGCTCGCTGGGCCATCAGTTTTCTGGCAGCCAGCCTGTGGCTCCTTAAAAGAATAACTAAGCCCTGCCTGTGTGCAACACATGAATGCCAAAGCTTGCAGGGAAAACAAAAGGATCAAAAAAATTTTTGCTTTCCAAGACTGTCATCAACCACCTATGAAAGAAAAGGATGCAGAATGAGTTTGAAAGAGTGACGATGTCCACTTTGTTGCGGCTTGCAAATCTTGTTTATTTTAAAAGGTTGCAAATTAATGGCTACAAATCTCCCTGGTAGGTGAAGGGAGAATGCCCTCAGAGATCCTCAGAACACCAGATAACATGGAACTGGCTATTCTTGCTTTCATTTAGCTTCTCCTAAATTATACAAACCAATTTCCACTATACTGGCTAACAGTTGTCTGAGATTACCAGTATGATTAACTTTGATATATTGTCATGAATGTCTGTCCCTAAAAGAAAGAAATTATGAAAACGACCTCTTAGAGGCTGAAGGATTTGTGGTTATTCAGGTTTGGAAGCTACAGGCAAGCCATTCTCTCTTACTTGCCCAGGATATATGCTTATTTCCGAAGGAATCGAAGAGACAGGTTGATGGACTTCAATTATATTCAATTTGGAAAAACAATATATCACTAGGCATCATCCTTTGAAAATGTGGCTACCACCAGACGGCAGCTGGGGGATGCCTGGCTGCAGTTAGCACTGCCTCCACCCCACTTCATAAGAATTCACCAGGAACTATTAAACAGACATTTGTTATCTTCACTGCTCGTAAAGAACACGCTGCTAAACCTGAAGACTACTTCCCGTGTTCAGGGAACTTTAGCATTTACCATGTAAGGGTTTATTGCACAAAAGCTGTACTCTGACTATAAAACACTGACATATTGTGCTTGCCACTAGAAGCATCTCTAAATTAAGAGGGAGCAACACTGTGGAAAGCAAAAAGTACACTTCTTTGCAAAGCTACTTCAGTATCACTTGTGGGAAAACTGATGCTGCTTGCAAGGATTTTAACAGAACGGGGGCAGGGTACGTGCAGAGTAGGTGTAAAACAACAGACAGTATTTTATGCTTGGATAACACCCAGCCCATTACCTTTTCAAAGGTTACAAAAGCTGTAGTAGTGTGAAGTGATATTATGTGTTGCACAAGGGCTGTCCTTGCATTGACAATGCAGGAAAAAAGAGTGGAAAGTTCAGCAGAAGATGTAGGCAAGAGTTGAAGCTGCAATGCACAGCCCTGAGGTTGTACCAAAGGCTTCTAAAGTATATGGGAGGCACCTCAAACCTTCACAGGTAGGTCTATACTATCGGGCCATGGCTATACCCTGCATGCGTGATACTCAGCTGGCTTTAGAGTAACTTTACATATCGGAGACTAACTCTGGCAGACCATTGGTACCTGAACAAGCTTTAAACAATGCATACGTCTGTATACAATACAGTTTGGAGGCACTGCAGATGGATTACAAGGGTTGATATGGATTGGCATGCTATACATTTAAGGAATACTTCACTCAACTTTGAAATAAGGGCATGTCTTGTTGAAATATCAGCCATTCAAAAACCAGCAACACTACGCAGTTTCTAAACACTGAGTGGACAGGATGAAACTCACTAGCTGGAATATGGCCAAAGATGTTACAAAAGACATATTGCTCCATTTGAGGGCTAGAGGCTTCTTAAACTTGTACCTTCTTTTCAATGGAAGCAATAGGACATCCACAGTAAGAAAATGTTGTATGTGGGGAAAGAATCAGACCACTGTTACAGGAAAGAGTTGTATTGCATCTGTTGATTTCTGTGATACTATGTTTTCCGTGTGTTTCTCTCCTTTAGTGCAGACACTGTTATTTACAGCCAAACCCTCACTCACCTTAGATTTCTCCTGATGCAGCTCGATTTGAATGTCTGTTAGCTTGGTCCTGAGTTCCTCATTGGCAGCCTGTAGGGCAACAATCAGTGCCTCAGGCTTTTCGCCCTTGCTACGTCCTTTTTTTGACATGGTTTCTTATCAGTGAGAGTCCAAGTGCTTAATTATTTCAAATACAGACCGCCATCTTTTTCCGTTCCTTTCAGTGCCAGTTAGTTCAGCACCTACTGCACGACATTCCTTAAGGTCCTGGACTCAGCTGCTTTGGAAGGCCTGTGAGAAATAAGACATACTATTATTTGTCAGTGGACACAGCAGCATGAGACCTCATATGGTTAGAGAACACAAGAGATAGCTCACTTCTCCAAAAACTGCAGTCTTTGTCTGAAAACCTGCAAGGGAGATCCCAGCACAATCAGGCTTCTGTATGCAAGTCTGGCGTGCTAGTGGAGATTCCATACATGCCCTTTTCCTGTTCTCAGAAAAGGGCACCATGGAATGAAGATAGGATTTTGTTTACCGTAAGGATTAGTGCTGTTGAGAGTACAGGACTAGAAAGGACAGGTCATTTAATCCAAGCTTTGCAGTCTGAGGTAACCACAAAGCAGCCACTTTAGTGTCAAGAATCTACCAACAGCCTCTTCTTCTTACCCTTCCCAACCACTGATCCCGCCCAAGGTCCTATGCCAAACTCAAAGACTTTTCACAACACACCTACAATCTGCCACAGGAAGAGAGTGGAAGTGCTGAAGTCCTCACCAGCATTCTGGGTCTCAGAACCACATAAAAGTGAATGACAAGCATAGCTACACACTCTGTCTACCTGGCCTGCAAAGAATGGATGTGATGGAGCTGGGAATAATGTCACCAGGAGTTGAGTATAGTGTGCAACTTTCCTGATGAATGAAAAGAAAATCTGTACAGCATATGGATGAAGCAGATGTCAAGGATGGCAGAATGATTGATGAATGTAAAACTGCTCTTCAGCAGTCAATGTAAACAGTGCATCCTAAAGGGCGACAATCTTACTCCTCCTGAACTCACTGCGACATAC